CCAGTATTTATCTTATGTTTTACTCTTAGTACTTCTTTACTATCATGAAAACTTTTTCTTAGTTCAATTGTTTTGAAACATTTAATTTTCTGAGTAGATTTATACTGTATCTTTGACTTACAATTTATTTGAAAGACATTGTATGATATCTTCTCCTAGTATTAGAAACTTTAAAAAGTATATTTCCATTTTCTGTTGACTTTTAAAAAAAAGAGGTTGGTACCTATGTTGTTTATTTATTGTTTCTTGCCTATATCTTGTAATATGAGAAACTACTTTGGCAGTATCAATACACAATGTACTAACCATTGTTACTCTCCTAAAATCTTGTTTTCGGATTTTGTACCATTGTTTTTATTTTTTTCTTTTAAATAAAATAATTGATGTCAAAAAAATAAAAAATAAAATAAATAACTAAATAAAAAAACAAAAAAAAAATTACTACATTGTATAGTGTTGTCTTGGTAGTGGTTATTCATACTACAAGATGCAGACATGATATCCTGTCAAAGAATTATTAGTACAAATATTTCTTCTCAATGAATTAAGAGAAAGTAACTGAATATTTATCCTAACTATTTGTATATATAGACAAAGCAGTCCTTCATTTGTATCTCCCTTTTTTGTTTGTTTTGTCATAGATGTGTATTCCATTGCCATTTAAATATTGTAGATGTGTGAATTCAGCAAAATAATCCAATATAGTCCAGTAGTCCATAATAGTAGTGGGTTGTCCATAGGACTGGCTATGTCAGAAGTTGAGAAATTTGTTTCTATTTCCATAATTTTATTGAGAAATAAATATCAATGAGACCATTTCAAATCAAATTGATAGGACAGTTCCAATAATTAACACATTGCATACTGCCTTCCTAGTGGTTATTTGTTGTATAAGATGTAGACATGATATCCTATTTACAAACACTATTAGAACAAATCCCTCTATTCCTTAAATTAAGAGAATGTAGCTTTATATCTATCCTAACCATTTTAAATACACACATACAAAATGGTCATTAATCTATATCCCATTTTTTGTTAATTCCATCATTTAAATATTATAGGTGTGTGAACTCAGCAAAATATTCCAAAAGAGTCCAGTAGTCCATAATATTATTTGGTCTTCCATTTGACTGGCAATGTCAGAAGTTGTTGACCTGAGTTCCCTGCAGCTCAACATAACAACATGGCTTTATTTCTTCTACTTCATTTTTATACTTTTCTGCTGGATGGTTAAGACCAAGATAAAAGAAGACCTATGAAACAAGAATTGTACCTTTTGGACCGATAAGGTCAGTCAAACCCACTCAGGATTTATCCTGAGACCCTGTACCTCAGATTGTAGATCCTTTGCCAGTGTCAGCCATGTGGATGAGTCATGTCCATTGCTTGGCCAATGTGCACTCTGTGAAAGCCTGAGAGAATGTTTTCTCTCCATATGACTCTCCGTAGGCACACTCTACATCATCAATCCCTTTTTTCTTTGACTCCATAATGTCCTTGATCAGAAAATTTGGGACACTACTGAGTTACATGATGTTAGAGTACACGTTCTCATATATCCTGAGTCTTAATTGACCTTGGGAGGCGAAGGCCAAAACATTGGCTTTCCTTGTGACCCTCCTTTTTCTCTAATTTTTGGTCTGAAAACTTAGATTGTTAGCCCACCAGCAGAGAACCTTATGGTTATTACCATATAGCCTAGGTTGTTGAGCTTAATCTCCCTATCTGTCTGAATATCAAACATCTTAGGCATAACATGGAACAAGTATATTCAGAAAGTATTGATATGTCAAACTTTAAGTTCTACAGAATATGACCAAAAAATTTTTAAAATTTAAAATATATTTTAAAAATAGGAATAAAGAATTATATATGTTTACACATAAGTCAAGAAATATAACCACATGCGACATTGTGGCAGGACAGTCACACAGCACACCTTTTCTTGTCTCCTGCTTTCTTTTCAAACAATCATCTACCTGAGAGACAGCATGGTAGGAGCTGGTGTGTCATGAGAAGGAGCCCGTATTCAGAAGACCAGAATGATAGGCACTCCAAGTAAGAACCTACTATTACAAATTGAGATCTTCACTGCAGTTGCTTAGTTCACAGGTGTCAGTATCTATAGTTAGTCAGGGTGAGAATCTTTCCAATTAACTGCTAGATTCGAAAATCTTCTAGAGATTCTCAGGATCATTGCCTTGCCCATCTTGTACATATAACTGTATGGCTTGCCTCTGTCAGGTTTCCTATCTCTTCTACTTGCACTCTCTTCATTTTCTAGCCCTCACGTTCTTGCTTTTTTTTAGTTGTATTATGCCTTTCTATCTGTTTTTCTTCTCTTGAGCTCTTATACTAGGGAAACTATATGTAACTTACACATGTGTGTCTGCTTTATTTCACTTATGAGTATATCTTCAACTGAAACCCACTTAAATATAAAGGCTTTGAGTTTATCATTCTTTATAGCTGAGCAATATTCCATTGCATAAAACTACCACATCTTTTTCAATCATTCCTCAGGTGACAGGCATCTTGGTTGTTTCCAAGATTTGGCTATCACAAATTGTGCTGCTATAAACATAGGCACATATATATCACTATGATATGATGTTTTCAGATTCTCCAGGAAAATTCTCAGTAGAGAAATAACTGGCTTAAATGGCATTTCCAGTCCTACTTTTCTTAGGAGTCTCCACACTCATTTCCATAATGATTATACCAGTCTACATTCCCACCACCATTGGAGAAGGATTCCTTTTACCCCACAGCCTCTCCAACATTTGTTGTTGGTTGATTTCTTTATGATATCCATTCTTTCTGGGGTGATATGATATCTCAATGTTTTAATTTGCATTTCACTGATAGCTAGTGATGTGGAGCATTTCTTCATATATTTATTCGCTTCTTTAGTTTCATCCTTTGAGAAATGTGTGTTCATCTTGGATGACCATTTCTGGACTGG